TTTTCTATTTTCTGGCTTTGGTGACTATGTTTAGGTCTTTTCCAATCTAATCTTTTTAAAAAATAACTCTTTAATCCACTTGAATTTATAATGTGTGTGTCCTGGGTATGAGACAGGCAGTGGACTTTTCCCCCTAAATGACAGAATTATAGCTGATACTTAGTAGGAACATTCTACCTGACAGGTTCTGCTCTGAGCCTTTGACAAATTTCAATCTACTTAACCCTTGCAATAACACCACAGGGAGAAGAGAAGTGATGCAGAGTGGTCATGTCATTTGCCCAAAGGCATGGGCAGTTAAGTACTAGCAGGTTGGGTAGCATGTCTTCAGTCTTTGCACTTTACTGTACTATGCTGTCCTGCCTCTCCTGTTAAGTAACCAGTTGTTCCAACACCACCAACTGAACAATCCGGTCACCACTTCTTGTAACTGGAGTGTTCCGGACTCCCAGCTCTTTTATTCATCTACATGGAATTCTGTACCAATTATACACTGTTTTAGTTATTAGATTTCTGTTGTATTCTGTAATAATCACCATTCCAAGTCCCTCCCAGTGTTTCTCTACAAAATTCCCTAGCTAGTCTCGATTTTTTTCTTTCAAAATACGAAGCCTAAAAGCAAAACGAAACACAAACAATAATATATACATTGCTTTGGATTTTGTTAAATTCATAAACTGGGGAAGAATTTGACCACATCTCCCTTGACGTACTCCAGGCTTTAGGTTCCCGTATTCTTTAAGAGTTTTCTTCATGAGTTCCATCGTTTCTTGGTAACATGTCTGTGATTAGGGACCATCTTTTAAAATGGTATTTTATAACAAGTTACTGTTATAAAATATTTATTAATTAAAACTATTGGCTTTTGTATTTATAACTGACCACCTTGCTGAAACCTGTATGCAGTCAGGAAGCAACAGTTAGAACTGGACATGGAACAACATACTGGTTCCAAATAGGTAAAGGAGTATGTCAAGGCTGTATATTGTCACCCTGCTTATTTAACTTATATGCAGAGTACATCNATCCTATAAATATATACTTGCTCTCATTTCCTCTCTTGGCTTTATTAAAAGGCAAAACCATATAAAGTGTTAGTTACAGCAATGCATTATTGGAATTTTAACATATATAGACATAAAACATATAAAAACAATAGCACAAAAAAGGGAGAAAGGTGAATAGAGCTATGTAGAATTAACATTTCTCCTGGGCAGTCCAGTGGTTAAGACCTTGCTTTTCAACGCAGAAGGTGTGGGTTTGATCCCTGGTGGGTTAGCTAAGATTCCACATGCCTTGGGGCCAGAAAATAAAAAAGCATAAAACAGAAGCAATCTTGTGACAGATTTAATAAATACTTTAAAAACGGTCCACATCAAAAAAAAAATCTTGAAAAACATATCTTTCACTTGAATTATGATAGTGTAAAGTTGAAGTAGATTCTGTCAAGATGGATGCATAAATATATGCATCAAACCATCACATTGAATACCTTTGATTTACACATTGTCAATTATATTTCAATAAAACTAGAAAAAAAAGTTGCAAACTGGAAAATCTAGAGTCACTAAGAAAATAAATCATAAATATAGTTAAAAATCACTGAAATATTTAAAGCATGCTTAGAAGATGCCCATTCAATGCAAAAGAAAGTAGTAAAGGAGAAACAGGAATCAAAAAACATAAAAAGCAAAATGTAAGCTAGGAGAAAAAAATACGGTCATATCAGTAATAATGTTAAATATGAATGCATTAAAATCTAGTCAAAAGGCAGAGATTGTTAGAATGAATTAAAAAAAATCCAAAATCTAAGTACATGTCATTTATATGAGACACACTTTAGATTCAAAGATAAATGTATGATTAAATTTTAACAAACACAGAAGGATATACCATGCAAACAGCAGACATCACAGAGATGGAGTAACTATAGTTATACCAGATAAAATAGGCTTTGTTTGCTACTGAAAATTTATTCCCCACTAGCAGCAGCAATGGAAAAGACCCTGATGCTGGGAGGGATTGGGGGAAGGAGGAGAAGGGGAAGACAGAGGATGAGATGGTTGGATGGCATCACCGACTCAATGGACATGGGTTTGGGTGGACTGCAGGAGTTGGTGATGGATAGGGAGGCCTGGCGTGCTGTGGATCACTGGGTTGCAAAGTCGGGACACAACTGAGCCACTAAACTGAACCTTGCTGAAATAAAGGTACTGTCATCTTGTTACAATTAAGCCAGTTCACGTTCTAGCAAAAGCCAACTTTAAAAAGTCCTGCCTGCTGCTCTTCACTGGTGACCAGCCATCAGGATAAGTGCATATTCATAAACAAAAAGCAGTACAACTGCAAATACATAATAGATGTATGTAAACTAAGAAGCACCTGCACTTCTCATCTTTATCCAGTTGCTTTTCTTGAAATGTTTCAAACAAGACTCACATTCTGCCATAACTTTACTTTCTGGCACAGATGAGGCTAATATACAGTCAGTTGATCGAAAATGTAGATTATGGAGATGCATCAAAAATAAGTTGAACACATATCCCCTTAAAAATTTCAAGTTAAAATATGTAAATATACACTCATGTGCAATCCTTTGTGCACTTATGGGCTTCCCTTGTGGCTCAGCTGGTGAAGAATCCGCCTGTAATGCGGGAGACCTGGGTTCAATCCCTGGGTTGGGAAGAAACCCTAGAGAAGGGAAAGGCTATCCACTCCAGTATTCTGGCCTAGAGAATTCCATGGACTGTATAGTACATGGGGTTGCAAAGAGTCGGACACAACTGAGCGACTTTCACATCACATCGCATCACATCAAAGCCTATTCTTCAAAGTATGGTTCCACTGATGGGGGATCTTCGTTTCTGAGTTCTGTTCTCTTTAAAGAAGAAAAGTGGTATCTCATTTAGCGTTGATTTGAATAAGTGATATTGAACATCTCTCCATGTGCCAATTATTGGCCATCTGTACATCTCTGGAAAAACGTCTATATTCAGATCCTCTGTCCATTTTTTAATCGGGTTATTTAGTGTTTTGTTGGTGAGTGGTATGAATTTTTTTTAATATATTTTGGCTACATTATTTTAATATCTTCCCACTCAAAAGGCTGCCTTTTTACTAGACAAAAACTTTCTTTTACACACACACATATCATACTTTTTCAAATTCTTCTTTACAGTTTATTACAAAATATTTATTATTGTTCCCTGTGCTATTCAGTAAGTCCTTGTTGGCTGTCTTTTCATTTCGCTGGGGGGTTTCTTTTGCTGTGTAGCCTTTTACTTTTGCAAGTTTCCCTTGCCTGAGAAGACAACATGCAGAAAGGTAATGCTAATACTTACGTCACACCTGACTGCCTATTGGAATGTGGCTATTATCAAAAAGGCAGAAAATAACAAATGTTATAGAGAGAATGTGGAGAAAAGGGACCCCTCATACATTATTGGTGAAAATGCAAACACGGAAAACACTATGGAGATTCCTCAAAAAATTAAGAATAGAACTACCACGACTCAGCTATTGCACTTCTGGGAATTTATCCAAAGAATACGAAAGCACAGATTTGTAAAGATGTATGCACTACTATGTTCACTACAGCGCTATTTACATAGCTACGGTATGGAAACAACTTAAATGTCCATCAACAAATGAACAGATAAAGATGTGGTTTGTGTGTGAATATATAATATAGACTACTACTTAGCCATAAAGAAAGAAGGAATCTTGCCATTTGTGACACCACAGATGGACCTTGAGGATATGATGCTAAGGGAATTAAGTCAGACTTCTGAGAAAGACAAATACTAAATGATTTCATTCTTATGTGGAATTAATTGGTAAGGGGTCAACTGTATGGTGATGGGTAGAAACTTTTGGTAGTGTACATAAGTTGAATTATAATGTTATACACATAAAACTTTATAAACAATGTTACATCAATTTAAAAAAGAAGAAGAAAAAAAATAAAAGACTCGTAAATGTCCACTGGATCTCTTCCAAGTCTAGTTGTCTTGCTCACACCTATTTTGACAGTTCTTTTAAATGACTTATCTTTTTAAAATTTTTCAAAAGCATTAATTTTCCTGGGAATCTTTTTTGCTCCTCCTAGTTCATCAGTTTTCATCATTTTAAATTAACTTACATAATTTTATAATGCTAAATAAACGCAATGGCATAAACAGACTTGTGAACACACACACACCTTGGTGAATGCAGCAGGGTGAAGGTAGAAGCAGGTTGGCACTCAAGGCAGTGGCGGGCTCTAGGGTTCAGCAGCAGTGGTCATCTGTTTCAGGGAGTGCAGCAGGCTGACCCATCATATTGCGTTCAGATGGGAGTAAAAAGTGCTTTACTTTAGAATCGTGATGCTTAATACAGTATATAAATAGAAACAAACATATGCATGTATGTATGAAGTATCCCTATACTTATATTTTGTTAAGGGCTTCTATTATTTTTTAAATTAGGAGTAGATTTCATGTTTTATTAAATGTCTTATTTGCATCTATTAAGATGATTCTGATTTATCTAATTTGACCTATTAATATGATAAAGTATAGTACACTGAAAAGAACTGAAACACATTTCTAGAATAAATCTCACCTGGATACACTGTTTTGCCAATATTTTATGTAAGCATCTGAATTCATAGGTAAGTTCGGTATAAAGCTTTCTCCAATTTTCTTAGTATCAATATAGCACTAATGCAGATACCTGTAAAAAAAAGGCTCTTTCTATTTAACATAACGATCCCACTATTAAAAAAAATTATTTACAAAATTGGTTGAATCCAGTACTTTGAGATTTTTACTATAGTTTTATAAAAATCAGTATCAGGTTTTCAGGGGCTTCCAACTCAGAGGAATCCTATTTTAAGGATATCATGGAGGTAAGAAGCAGCAAAGGAAGAGGCCAAGTGGGATTTTATGTGCACCTTCCCTTTCCTTCCACAAGTTTTATAGCAATTCCTCTTAGAAAGGACTTGGACTTCATGAACATAATGATGGACTCTGAAAGGGCAGAGTGTTGACCGAGATGGAGGGTTCTTTTCAGCTCTCACACTTGGCTTTTTTGCAGGCTGGAAGAGAATCATCATCTGCTTCTGATGTCCGAGGTTTCTTCACCGTGGAAATAATTCCAAAAGCAGTTTTTCTAGTTTCTATAAGTCAAACAGGGAAAACAAGGTGCTTAAAGTTAAGATATGATTTAAACAGGTGGTGTAACAAGCATCCCCATGTTACTGTGACTTATAGCATGAGTAAATGATAAACCTATATGAACTGCTAAGAGCACTGATGCTACTTACTGCTATCACCTTTACCTGCCCCTAGATTATACAAATATCAGTATATTATTAACAGCTAGTTCATTCCAAAGGGACTACCCTCTAGGGTAAAATTACAGGGCAAGTTGTCTCTAATGGTCTGTCTCTAATGGTATCTCATGTAGCCAGAAACCAAGTTTCAGAGGTTGGGCCAGCACATGCTTAAAGTGTGGTAGAGACGGATGAGTCAGGACAGCAAGTACACCAGTCAGCCGTACTGATCCATGGTAGTGTGTGTGCTCACTTCATTTTATGGCGCAGACCATTCATTATCTGTGTCCCTCACTAGATCATGAGTGTCTGTCTGAAGAATCAATCACATGGCCAACATACAGCAATGCCTGGCTATGTAACAAGTGTTTAAGAAATACTTATTGAGTGAATCAAGAATAATACACACGGTTATTGATCTCTTTTATGTTGATGACAATGGACAAAGAAGAATGGAAATTATTAGATGTTTAAGTCAGGCTGGCAGCAGAGTTCAGCTTCAGTCTAGCTAACTTCTGCTAAAAATGTACTAAGGGGCCAGGCACTGTGTCACTTACAGAGGATTCTGAGATGCCTAAACAGTGCTTCTTTCTACCCATACTGACAGCACATCAGGGCAAATATAATAGTATAACAGGAATGGAGACCCCACAAGAAGTAACCCTGCCTGGATGAATCAGGAAGGTATCATAAAAGAAGTAACACTATCATAAAAGAAGGAAAAGAAAAAGGAAAGTTTTCCTTAGATATGGAGAGAGGGATAAGAAGAAAATAATACTTAGGAGACAAGATGACTGGTGTAAAGGAGGAGTGTGAAAAAATCAGGGGGAATCAAGGCTGGAGGGGTAGTTTATGAAAGGTCACAGTGCCATGAAGAGATTTAAACTTAGTCCTTAAGAAATGGGGAAGGATGAGGGAGGAAGCAAAACCCTTTGGTAACAAAGATAAAATCAAAGGGACTTGATAAACACAAATTTAATTAAGACTTATTTCATGTAATAGAAGTAAAGTCATTTCTAAAAAGTTAAATATTACCTTCTCATTTATCAAGATTAATTTACCAAGTCTACTAAATTTCTGTCAGTTATTTAAAAGCATTTTAATTTATAACAGGGACAAAACTTCTCTCAAGGTCATTACAATGCCAAAATAATCAGGGAACCTCAAAACAAACAGAAATTGCCCAAAATTTGCATTTAAATGTTACACTTACAGATGTTTATCACTATGATTATGAGTAAAAGTCTAAAAATCAGCAGAACAAATAAAAAATATAAAAATTAAATTGTGAAAAGCAATTAACAAAAATGTTTGTAACCAAACAAAAAGGATTAGTTTCAAAATTATTTTAGTTCCATGTCAGAAATATTCTTTTTTAATCACACGAACATTCACGTCTTAATCTAAGCCAACAAGATTATAAACCACTGAAAAACAAGATTTTTATATAGTTACTAAAGTAAGTCTTTTAGACCCTGAACCTCTTTTCTCTGTCTCGACCTTAAAATTGCTATTCACTGGTTGCTAGAACACCACAGGACTCATCTAACTTTGATTCCTTATAGCAAGCCTTAAAATGTGGAAGGCCAGCTACTACTGTGTGTCTCAACTCTTCTGTTTTCTAGGTCTCTACTCCTGCACTATTTTCAACAATTGCTCTCATGATAGGGTTTTCACACCCTCCAAGAATTAACCAACTTCTGGTAGTGCTTCTGTGCAGTGGTGTCCTTAAATGTGGCACTCAGGATGATGCAGGTGCCAGTTTGGTCTTACCAGTACAGAGGATAACAGTGAGACTTTGAATCCTCTTGCCTCAGAATCGAGTAATTCTTTTCATGTAAACTTAGGCTCTCACTGTTTCCACTGTTTACCCCATCTATTTGCCATGAAGTGATGGGACCAGATGCCATGATCTTAGTTTTTGAATGTTGAGTTTAAGCCAGCTTTTTCACTCTCTTCTTTCACTTTTATCAGGAAACAATAGAAGCAGTCAGAGACTTTATTTTCTTGGGCTCCAAAATCACTGCAGATGGTGACTGCAGCTATAAAATTAAAAAGATGCTTGCTCCTTGGAAGAAAAGCTATGACAAACCTAGACAGCATATTAAAAAGCAGAGACATTACTTTGCCGACAAAACTCTGTCTAGTCAAAGCTATGTTTTCCAGTAGTCATGTACGGATGTGAGAGTTGGACCATTAAGAGTGCTGAATACCGGAGAATTGACGCTTTTGAACCGTGGTGTTGGAGAGGACTCTTGAGAGTCACTTGGACAGCAAGGAGATCAAACCAGTCAATCCTAAAGGAAATTAGTCCTTAATACTCATTGGAAGGACTGATGCTAAAGCTGAAGCTCCAATACTCTGGCTACCTGATGTGAAGAACTGACTCTCTGCAAAGATCCTGATGCCAGGAAAGATTGAAGGCAGGAGAAGGGGACGACAGAGGATGAGATGGCTGGATGGCATCACTGACTCAATGATATGAGTTTGAGTAAACTCTGAGAGTTGGTGATGGACAGGGAAGCCTGGTGTGTTGCCGTCCACGGGGTCACAAAGAGTTGGACACAACTGAGCAACTGAACTGAACAGAACCTTAGACTGAATCAGCAATCCTAGTATCCCACCACACTACTGTCTCATTGATTCCAATGTCAACTAAAACCCTGGTAATTACAATTTATCCTATAGATGTGATATTAATTCTACAGGGACAGCGAGCATGAACTAGGGCTGTTTAGGGCACAACTAGAATGAATGGGAATGCTATTAAAGTACACGAGACTTCTTTTAGTTTAGCTTCCATAAAAGCCTAGCTTTAGATATAACTTATATTGAATAGCTGACGTTCTTGAAGTCAAGAGTAGATCTTCGTATTTTTCCCTATTAAATTTTAAAAATTAGTTTCCCTTCTTTGTCTTAGTCTGTTTTAGACCACTAACTGTTACCCAAAATCTTAATGATTCCTTACATTCACTTAAGACAGACAAAAATAATGGCAGAATTACCAGTCTGAACTATTTCCTAATTTCAGAAAATCTTGATAAAAGTTCTAATTAATTTGGTCATTCCCAGAGCTTATATGATGGGACTAGGCTAGGTATGTAATAAAAGAACCTCACACTAAAAATGTTGAAAACAAAAGCAAAATCATCTAATTCATGGTAAGTCAATACAGCAACCCGTTCTCCCAAGCAGAAATCAGATCATTAAAATCCACACATAATATACAAGCCCTCAAAAACTTAACTACTCTTTTGTTAAATAATCTAGTCTTTATGTAGCAACCAATTCTGAAGCTTAACACTCAAGTGGATGATATCAAGTAAACTGCTTCCTGACCATAACTACTAGTACTAAAAATTACAAAGAGAATGAAGACAAAAACAGCTAAACACCCCAATGTTCATCGCAGCACTGTTTGTAATTGCCAGGACATGGAAGCAACCTAGATGCCCATCAACAGATGAATGGATAAGAAAGCTATGGTACATATACACTATGGAATATTACTCAGTCATTAAAAAGAATTCATCTGAATCAGTTCTAATAAGATGGATGAAACTGGAGCCCATTATACACAGTGAAGTAAGCCAGAAAGATAAAGACCAATACAGTATACTAACGCATATATATGGAATTTAGAAAGATGGTAACAATAACCCTATATGCAAAACAGAAAAAGAGACACAGATGTACAGAACAGACTTTNTCAAGGCAAAGTATATTCATTCCACAAACTACAGAACATAAAGCCTTAAGTGAAGGGCAAGAAAAGCATTGATGCACATGGCTAGTGGGTTCAGAAAAGATGACTTTAAAGGAACTCTGAGGGGTAGGATAATAAAAGTTGATATGGCTCAACTGTCTGACAGAAATGACTGGCTCTTAACATGACGACTCAGTGATTCTGTTGGAAAAACATGCTCACCTCCATGCAGAAGCACAGCTCGGCAGTTGGTGGACACTGCAGCCTTGGCATCACTTTCGGACAGCCCAAACAGCAACCCTCTGGGGGGTCGTTAAAGATTTCAGCCCAGAGTCAGCCGAGGACACCAGACTAACAGAAACATAACTGACAATGCCAGCTGCCCTGGCACCGAAAGAGACACTTTAATTCTACAGTTCTTAGCCCAAATGGAAAAAGCATTTGAGAAAAGACTCATTTAACTCTAAATTTTTACTCTTCCCCTTCTTTTCTACTTTACCCTTCATCCAGAAAACAAAAGGATAAAGCTCTTTAAGTCTGATGTAATTTGTTTTTGAAGCTCTTAGTTGATAAACTTATAGTTTTAAAACTCCTGTTAAAGTTTAATATATCAAATTCCAAATTTCCTAAAAGAAAATTGCAATGACTTCTTATTCAGAAAAGGATACAAGTTTGCCACATCGTATGGGCCTCTTATTTCTAAAGGCTAAAATAAAATGAACAAAAAATAGATATGAGAGAAGTTATTCATAACATTTCAATGACTTCATCTGCAGTAAATAGGATGCTTAAGTATCTAAAAATAAGGAAGTCAACTGCATAAATTTAAGTCGTTATAATTTTGATGGGTTTCTTACATTTTTTAAAATAAAAAAGATCCTTGAAAAGCATTTTACAACAATATAAAGGAAAGACTATTTATATAAACAAAATTTGAAGCCTCAAAAGAATGGGGATAAATAGGGATAAAATTGCCCTTCAGCAATTACAATGAGCAAATGAAGTTAACAATGCAAACACAACCTTTTACTACATTACTATTCTAATTTCTGCCCTAGAAACCTTTTAGTTTTAAAACTTGAAAAGTGAAAACAAAATACTTAATGCCAGACTTACCCTTTCTGCAGCACTAGATATAATTACATTCTACAAAATAGAAAGTAATCAACATTAATCTTAGATAAATGTGGGAAAAAACTGAAGAGTCTTACAATACAAATAACCAGCAATCAAATTTTAACATAAACACCAACTTCTTCTTAAGATAAGGTACATAATTAAAGTGATGGATGAAAGACCTCATGTCAGACTAAAAGCAGCCTAAAGTAAGAAACAGAACAGGCCTTCCCAACAGATCTTAGGAAAGATGAATCAGTTTAAAAAACTAGTTGAAAAGGGCATGTAATCTTAATTCAACTCAATGAGGACAAATAATTGCTCTCCAGACTGTTCTTTCACAGTAGGTAAATGGCCAATTCTTTACTGAAAGATAAAGACTTTCAACACATCTTCCCCCCTTCATGTTATTTTTCCCTAGGGTATTTTTCTTTCTCTTAAAACCTGCAGAGCCTGGTGAAATGGGAGAATTTGTTCTTGGGCCTTGAGAACTTTTTGCTCTAAGGATCAGCTGGATAACCCCAGTATATTAATAATAAACAATCAGATTTGAAAAACATCCTAAAATTATGGAACCATACCTTTCCTTTGCAGACCTGCATCAAATTGAGGGCGTTGGAAATTGTGTACCTTCTCATCGTGGAGTCTTTGATAGCAGGGCTATAGAGAAGTTCAAAGCCCACTCCTCGGTCAATTGCCTTCACAGGAAACAAAGGAAACAAAACTGTCAAGGCTAACACACACTGTCTTACTTTATTTTCACTGAACTTCCCTCTCACCTCCTTCCTCACCCTGTCCCTCCTCGCCTAGCTCCTGCATGTCCAGGAATAGCTTTGAAAAAAGGCATATTTGTGCTTGGATGGCACCATCCATGGGAGAAAAAGAGATCTTTGGCTCTATTTGATCAATAGAGTTTATCTGAGCTGTCGGGAAGCTGACTTTATATAAACAGGAGTCATCAAGTTGGCCGAGGAGAGCAATGTCCCAGTGGTGTGGCAGAAGGGCTACTACTCCATGAACTAGCAAAAGGAAATTGGAGATATGTTCCCTACAGGCAGGGTAGACTGTTTGCAAATGTAGTAAACCAACTAATTTGATCCAGAATGAAGAGACAAAAAGTGAAGAACTCAAAAACATCCTAAGAACAGGAGTAGAAGGCATCTAGGGTAAGTGATTTAGTATGCAAATGCTGAAGAAAGAAACACAAACAGCCAAGAAGTGCTATGTGCCAGCCACTGTGCTGAGAGTCTTATGTATTTATTCAACACACACAATGCCTAGAAAGCACTATGGCAGAGACAGCTAACTGTCCCGCTCTGATCTCCCCATTTTCTTTACTAATGGAGTCAGTATCTTAAGTGGGGTTCATGAATGCCCAGCAAAAACAATGAAAGCAGCCTGCATCCCTGACATTGGCCAGCTTGCAAGCTTGGCCTTCTACATGAGAAAAAGAAACTTTCTTGTTTAAGGTGTTCTTAATAGGGTGGAATCCACAGGTATCCACAGGTAACAGCTTATTTAAAAATTTTAGATAGATGAAACACAGAATACCTGAGCTCCCGCTTCCAAGACCATTTTAATGTAAACTGCCTTAAGCTCGTCAACTGATTGTTCAGCCTGGAAGAGGTGGCAATGGGACTAAATCCACCACTACACTATTCCGCTTCCCTGATGAGTGATTTGCATCTTCATCCATTTACAAGAGAGGGGTTTCAAGCCAGCTGTGCATGGGAATGGTGAGCAAAAGCTTACATGGTTCTTCTCTTCTAAAAACTTCCGGTTTAGTGGGGAAGGCCAACAAATAATTACACAAAAATTAAAAACTTCCACTGTGCTAAGTAATGTCAAGGAGAAGTCTAGGTGCAGGTGAGGAAGGACTTAATCAGCTAAATAGCAGAAGAGTGAAGCACGTGCACAGGGCGGGGTGGGGGTGTGTATATGAAGAGGCTCCAGGGTTGGAGGGAGTGGTGGAGTAGGTCAAAGGCTGGGGAGGAGAGGAGGTGGAGGGCCCTGTGGTGAGAGTGGAGGCTGGAAGAGGATGGAAGGGCCAGCAGTGCAGGTCTTTAGAATAGAGACAGAATTAATCTTAGTAGCCACACAAAGCATCTAAGGATTTTCTCATGGAGGTGATGATTAGAGTCTCGATGGCCGCAGCGGTCTCTTGAAGGAACCAAGTAAGTAAAGCAGGCAAAGCCCAGGAGGTAGATGGGTTGGGACCTGTCCAGCTGGGACAGCTGGAGGTCTATTCCTGAGTGTAACAAGGAATGCAAAAAATCTGTCTTCTGAATACAGACTTTTTTTTCATCCCCTAATCTTCCCTTTCCTTTTCTTCCTGCCTTGAGGCGCCCAGATTTTATTTTAGCTTCCCTATATACCTGATCCTAGTTTAATTAGCATTTACACACTGTTTTCTACACCGAAAACTCCCCCTCTCCTTTTTTTCCGACAGCCTCTTCCTGCCCCCAATTCTTTGTCTTGTGTTGATTCTATCTGGGAATAATGTCTGCTATGATATTCTTTGGGGCACAGATACATCCCATTCTCCCTGTCTAGCTTGGACATTTGGAAGCTGGAATCATGATACTTCTCTGTAACACTGACCTCTTCTTTTATATAAAAAGCACTTAATATATTAATATTCTGAGGGAATAAACAGTAGCTTATGGAAAAGAAGTCATATGATAATGCTGTTCATTATGGATTATCCATCATAAAAGAAACCAGGGTTAATTTGGCAAATTGAAATTCACAGATAAACCAAGTCATGTCTTTCAACCATATTCTCAACTATCCCCCTGGCTATTTCTCTAACCAAAACTACTAATTAGCCAAAGAGGCTTACTTACATGTACTTCTTTTCCTCATCCCTCTAGGTGCTGAACTAAAGCACAGGTCAGTAAGATGGAGAAGAGGAGAAATAAAAGATGCAGGTGACACAGAGAACTAGGTGACCAGGTTCCAAAGTATTCTTGCTACTTCCCCCACCTCCCGCCCCCTTGGGGACCAGAGCAAAATAAAAACTTTTTTGGGCGTGGTGAGGGTTAAATGGACACAATTATCCATTTAATTATTTTTTAAGAAAAAAGTTCTGATTCTGATCTTAGTACATTAATCAAATTCACTTTTAAAATGGAAAGAAAACTCAGAAACTGAAGATAATGTGCTACTGAAGGCTGTGAACACGTCTTTCATAACACTTTATTTAAAAATTTTAGATAGATGAAATACAGACTCATTACCTGCGCTCCTGCTTCCAAAACCATTTTAATGTAAATTGCCTTAAGCTCATCAACTGATTGTTCATAACAGCTTTTTCATAAAGAATGCCAGTGCCTGCTTGATTAGCTTTTGTTTGCATCTCTGACCAAAGGTTCTGGAATAAGCAGATATTTCTTTACTAATGAGAAATAACTCATAACGATGCTACAAACCAAGAGCAGGTGTGTGACATGTGAAAAGATAGTGGTGGTAAAATTCCAAGAACTAAAGCAAAGCTTAAGAGAAAGAAGAGAAAGAAAATAGGGGGTTGATTACTGGGACAATATACAGATTCCTGTTTATTTCATAAAAATCAGTTCTTTACTGAAGTGCAAAGGAGGACACTCTTGGTGTATCCCTCTTTGAGGTAGGTAACTTGTTCATATGATTCACATATCAAGTAACACAAGAAAGCAACAAAAGTCTTAATTGTATCTCTGCTCCTGTTTGCCCCACCCCCACCTCCCATAATCACTTTTATTAATTTCTTCTGTCTTTTCCCAGAGTTTCTTCATACAAATATAAGCAAATATGAACATCTGTTTTCCTCTTTCTTACCCCAAAGGTAGCCTACGACATTGTGGTTCTGCCCTGAAGGGTTTTCCTTGTCAGTTCCTAACTTTAGCATCACTTTAGAGCTGTAGCACTCCATTGAAGAGGTATGGCATGCTTAACCAAGCCTCTGATAGTTTTCAGTTGTTCCAATATACCTGTAGAACAAACGCTAAGGTGCGATTGCTGGGTATTACGGATTGAATTGTGTCTTATGAAGGTTATGTTGAGGTCCTAATTAACTCAGTATTTAGGATATAACCTTATTTGGAAACAGGGTCACTATAGATGTAAATTAAAATGAAGTCATGCTGAAATAGGGCAGACTCCTATTCCAGTATGACTGATGTCCTTATAAGATGATGACCATGTGAAGACATAAGAGACACACAATAAAGACAGAGGCAGAAATCAGAGCTATGCAGCTGCAGGCCAACGACCACCAAAGACTGCCAGAAAATCACAAAAAGCTGGGAAGAGACAAAGAAGGATCTCCCTAACTGGTCTCAGAGGGAGCATAACCCCATAATGTCTTGATTTCAGACTTCCAGTCTCCAGAACTGTGAGTTGATGCATTTCTATTAGTTTAAGCCACCCCATTTGTGGTACTCTGTTATGATAACCCCAAGCAACTAATACACTAGGTCAGAGAGTAAAGCATGTATAATTTTGATAGCTGTTGCCAAATTAACCCTCCCTCATATGGATTGCTCCACTTTCACAGTTACAATCAAAGCATGAGAATCCTTGCTTTCCCACAGCCTTACAACCATGTGTCATCAAACTTCTGGGTTTGTGCCAATTAGATAGGTGATTTTTGATGTGAATTTCTCTTAGCATGATGAATATAAGCATCTTTTCATATGTTAACAGCCTATTTGTATTTCCTTTCCTGTGAAATGTCTTTTTAATACTCTTAATCCATTTTTTTGGATTGAACATCTCTCTCTCTTTTTTAAGCTTATCAACTTCTGTATGCATGTTTAGTCACTCAGTCATGTCTGACTCTTTGCGGCCCCATGGACTGTAGTCCGCCAGGCTTCTCTGTTCATGGGGATTTTCCAGGTAAGAATATTGGAGTGGGTTGCCATGCCCTTCTCCGGGGGGATCTTTCCCACCCAGGGATCAAACCCAGGTCTCCTGCATTGCAGGAGGATTCTTTACCGTCTGAGCCACCAGGGAAGCCCTATCAGCTTCTAGGAGCTCTTTATATATTAAAGAGACTAGCCATTTGTCTGTGACATAAGTGAACTTATTTCCACAGTCTGTCATTTCTGATGGGTTTTTTTTTTTTTTTTTTTTTCCACATAGACATTTTTTGATACTGCTAAGTTTGCTGGCACTGCTCCAAGCACTAGATCCCTAAAGTACTTAACACATTTAGGTTCACAGTGTATGTGATGAAAAATAAAGTTTATAGAGCAGTCACACCCAACTCAAGGATATATGGAAAGATTCCTGGAACAATCTCATTGCTTCAGATACTATTTACTGGATTTCTCTCAGTGGGGACTAACTGGACCAAGAAGACAAATGGATTAGGGTTAGAGAAAATGCTGAAGGGAAAACTTCACAAAGAGAGCATAAAACATACAATCATTGACAACAGCTCAAAAAACTTAAGTTGTTGTTGAATGGCAAAACACTGTTTAAAAAAAAAAAAAATCAAAGGGAAGGTGAAGATAGGTGTTGCTTAAAGAAAATTCTTCTCAAAACCTGATTTCATAAAGACTTTTTAAAGTATGAAATTACTCTGTGCTTAACAAAGAGCTCTGCTGTAAATAGCATTTAAATAGCAATGACAGCAGATTTAGAATCAAAGCTTGAGTACAAATCCCAAGTTAACCTTTGAGAGAGATGTGTACCTGTTGTGAGATGCAAGCTACCTGAGTCTCAATTATATCACCTGCATAATAGAGAGAATTCACATCTACCCCACCTTAAAGCTGCACGCTGAGAGCTTAGACCTTAAAATGCTATTAGAGGTCATTTGGTTATCCAAGAAGAGGAGCTGAATTCAACTTTCTTGAAACCCAACTATAACAATATAAAATGATTCTACTACAAGTTACTCAGACTTCAGAGGAGGTTTGTAGGAGATTCTAGAGGGAATTAACATAGCTGAAATCATGGTGCCCTAAGCATGTGGTGAAGATACCAAGAGGGATGGAAGCTGCTGAAATTATTTATAAGGAATGCTTTGGTATGTCCTAGTTCCTGGGCCCTCCTTCATAATTGCAACCTTCTTTTACTTCTTTTTTTAAAGCTTTATTGAGGGCTGATTGAAAAATATAATGTATATATTTAAAGTATATTATGTGATCATTTGATACACATACTCTCCATCAGGGGTCCCCAAGCCATGGACCAGTAGCAGTACATGGCCTGTTAGGAACCGGGTCACACAGCAGGAGATGAGAAGCGGGCAAAAGTGAAAACATCTATCCCCTCCCCCAAGCCCCGAGTCCATGGCAAAATGTCTTCCAAGAAAACAGTCCTTGGTGCCAAAAAGGTTGGGGACCATTGCTCTACAGTGCAGAATGATTACCAAGATCAAAATAATTAATACAACCATCATCTGATGCAGTTAACATTTTTTTTCCCACTGTGGTGAGACTGCTTAGGATCATCTCTCAACTGCTTTTAAGTTACAATACTGGACTATTAACTACGGTCACCCATGCTGTATATTAGAGCCTCGGCACTAGTTCTTTTTCTAAGTGAAAATCTGTACCCTTTGACTTAAAATCCCAACTTTCTGAGCTGATAATTCTCACATTCCTTATGGCCAGGAGGTCAAGACTAATGAATTAAATATTGTACTACTCCTTTTTTTTTTTAGCCACTCCATCCAAACTAAGATCTGTACCCAATACTGTGATCCTTATAAACCAAACCAACAACTTGTCACGGTCAAAGACAAATTCATTCTAAGGGCCAAAAGAGCATGCAAGGACCAACACTTAAGGCTATACTGCTCCCCACATTCACTACATCTTCTGTATTTTCATGGGGAATATATTTCCATACTTTAAGCATACAAATTCAGAATAGGTATAATTATCAGGTATAAATAATATACACACATCTATGCAACTACTCTTTATTTACACTGTACAACAAGCTCGATAACTTTTATTGTATCAATACGCTTCTAGCTTTTAATTTAATTTTAGTTAATTTAACTTTTAATTCCAGTTTCTTTTAAATGAAAAAGAGGTGAATGAAACTAACAGGGACTCTTCTGCTTCCTGACCAATTCACACCGCAGCCTACTTATACACTAGACGAAGACTAAAAATAAGACTGCACAGCCTTCCCTCCACTCCATCATCTAGTTTTTATTAAACAACATATGTAACATGTTCACACCAGATTTTAAAAAAAGCAGACACTGTGTTAAATACTGCATATCCGTCTCACTTGTCAAATTTTTACTTTTTAGAATTCTTACATTAAAAAATGTGGGAATGTGGCCAAAAATATCCATCAAAAAATAGTACCTTGCCGAACTTACAGAGGGAATTGGAAGGTGGGCTGTCCTGGTGCATCTCCTCCTCGTGCTGCCCCAGTGCCCCACTCCTCTCACTGCGGAGGCTGCCTGCCGAGCCCCACAACCAGCTAAGGGTTGACGGCTTGCAGGATTTGCTTGTGTTCCCCAAGTTGTACCTTGACAATATGAAATTAGATGTATACTCGTTCAACTGAAAATTTTAGGCAGGACTCATTAAAGAGAAGGTATTGGGGTAATTAAGAAAAGACCATGACACGGCTGGCACTTCCCAGAAGCTTACAATCTGGGTTGAATAGTACGGGACGTTCATAAGAAACCAAGAGAAAGTCATCACCAAAACTGCCACTGGGTAGCTTAGCACTGTTGTGGGATAAGAAGAATTAAGTGCTGTGAACTGCTGTCCATTCCATGGACTTGGCTTTAGCATCACATGCCACTGTGTCCTCTCAACCAAGAACACAGTATTGTATGTGGGTTTACTCAGGCAAAGTCATCTAAAAAATGGCCTTCCTTGTTCATAAGGGTGAAGAGAAAAGTAAAGAAGTTGAAAGTTCAAGAGCCATTTACATGTAAACTGGAATGGCAAACTGAAGCTGGTAAAAAGCCTTGGCAAACTTCTGGAGACAAAGCCTGCTCCCTCAGGGGAGGAACACCATGTGAGGCCAGGAAGACTGTCATCACGTCAGGTACACTGTTGGTTTGAGCTCTCAACATGGTAGCTGGGGCATACTGGAGGTCTCACCCAATGGAGGTCAATCTGGTCTGTCCCAACCCTGGGCCTGGAGAGCTGTACAGCTTCTGCTTGCCTTCATTTGACCATTTTTAAAAAGTGTTTCCTCATTTATTTATAAGTACTGGCAAGAACGCAGGGAAACAATGATTTGAGCGTGTTGTTAAATATATGTTCAGTAGTATTCTCATTATTAATCAGCAAAGAGCTGTTTTATAGTTTTCCCTTTAAATATATAACTTTAAAATTTTGAATACTTTTCAAAATATTACTCCTGAATGCTTCAGTAGCATACATTCAGGGGTGAAACATAAGCCATCTTAAACTTTTTCCACATCGGATTCAATTTTTCCATACCATACAGATCGATTTTTCTCCTTTACGGTCTCTGCCTATTCTCAGCATCAAGCCAACTCCTTAGCAGCAGACAGGGAAACAAAAGATTCTCCAGAGACAAATGAATAGGGGAGTTACCTATCCTGAAAAAAAATCCATAAATTTTTAATTTTCCAATTCTGACGGGGCGGGTCTGTAATCTAGACTGTTAAACCTTTTTCTCCTTCAACAGCGCTTTTTGAGAATGGGAATCAGTTTCAGAAGCCTCTGTTCTAAAATAGCATCCTGACTCCTCCCAGGATCTGGCTGCCAATGCAAATAGTTGACAGCTGTGCCAACCTTATAGCTCCCAAAGTGAAGCAACCTCACTTTCATGATAGAATAAGACTTATAAAAGGTGTGACAGATGGAAGATAACGAGTAGAAGAAAATGAGAAATTATGTAGAAAGGTAACGAGAAAGATTCTGTGGCAGAGGAAGGAGTACAAGGCAGGATCACCCTCCTTGGTTATTACGAAAGTCATGCTGGGCTTTTGTGTGAGCCAGCACACCTTGGTGCAGACTGTCACTGGGCACAGACCATGCCTGCCGTGCTTTCCACTGCCTGCCCTCCCTGCCCCTGCCACTGCCATCCCCTTTCCAGACTGCTGCTGCCATTCCCTCCTCCTTTCTGGGCTTCTCTGTCTCCTTAATATGCAACATGCAGACTGTAACTGTCCATTATTATTAGCTATCCTCTTAGGAAACGTCCTTCACACAGTTGAGTTTCTAAGGCCTTTCAAACACACCTTGGTAATTTACTAGTTATTTTTTATATTAAGCTTTCTTTCAGCCTTTAGTCAGCTTGCACAAAAAAATCCTTTAAGTTGTCTATTTATTACTAGCCTTTGATTTTTCCCCTCTAAAAACAGCGGTTTCCTCTGTCCCTTTCCCAGCATGTTAACGCACATCTAGAGAGACACATAGAGAACAAAGTGTGACACTTACCACATTAATAGGGGGTCTTTTGAAATAAAATGGTAGCTTCTCTGTTACAGTTATGCAGACTAAATCCACATCTAAATGTGTACAAGCAACCTGTCAAGAAGAAAACACAAGTAAAACCAAAAGCAAAACTGGCACATGTTAAGAATGGGGTAGGGTCAAACATGCCATAAAGAAATGTAAATAGATACGGCTCACTCAATAGACACTGTAGGGTTCTGTGTTCAAATGCACCCGTCCTTTTGCAAAGCCAACGGTTAGCCACTCACATTTGGTTTGAATGGTTTAGCTGTAATCCAGCTGAAGTAGGGTGATATGTCTACAGAAATCTCAACAGACAAGGTCCAGAGACCCTCTAATCCACAGTCAGCTAAACAAGGAGAGGTTGCTAAGAGAGGCTCAATTTCTGGAAGGTTACTTCAGACTGTTCCAGAAAAAGGAAACTGCTCTGATACCAAGAAAAAAGAAAAGTTAAAAGGAATGTATGCATGGTCCACTTTCTCCAGAAATTATTTTTGTGCCAGCAATTGTCCCACGTCTATGGGTCCAAACAGTCTACTGAGTGGTCAAAGAAACCTTACATGGCACTACCAACAGCATTTTGTTCAAACGTTAATAGAAACAAAGCATCTCCACAGATGGTCAAAGGAGAACTGTTGTAAATCAAATGATCCTGAATGCATTTTTTTTCCAACTGTTAATTTCTCTTTCCTTTCTTCTCATTTTTGCTATTACCTGTTGACACTCTGCATTTACTTCCAAAAGAGATCTGAAACTGCTTATAAAAAAATACATGCAAGACAAAATAAATAGATAAGGAAATGAGGATAAAAGGAAGAACAGGGAAGGAAAATAAAGCTGAGGAGCAGTTACTAGCTTAAACGTGCAGGCCAGAAGCTGCACATCCAGCTCTCATTTTGCATTATTTGATTTACAGAGATAAAAAGAATTGGCTCTTCCCTACTATGACAAAAAATAAGCCTCATTATCAATGCCGGTATAGTCAGGCTTGATGAACAAATTCAAGCTGCCATGGGGGCTGTGCTGCCAATCTAACATCAGTGGCAATGACCAAGAGAAATGGGTCGAGAGGGGGTGACAATGCCCTGTAGGTAGGCTCGACCTTCCGCAATGACAGGACCGTCACATCTTCTACTTTTTCTTCAGAATCCCTGCTCCACTCATTGTTACCACCACCTCAGGGTTCCAGGGAGCAGGGAGTGATCGGAGGCTGCCTGGCTTTAAGACAGTCACAGTAACTTAGTAAGCCTGGGAAGTAATGCTGCTCTGGCAGACACTCTGCTCATAGAGGACCTGTCCTATCCCAACTGCTACAGCTGTCTAACTCATAAAAGTCATTGAAAATTTGCTAAGAATAGATGAGAAAACCTCTGAATAGCAGGTGAAACTAAAACAAATTCAGCTTCTGTTTGCCATTTTTACACTATCAGGTTGGCAAAGATCATAAAGTTTAGTAATATACGGGTGACACAAGAACAAACAAACAGGGACTCACAGGGGTTTTAAATCAGGACTGTCGTCTTGAAAAGCATTTCAGCAATAGGTATCAAGATTTTACATGCACACATCAGCAAATTTCACCTATAGGAAAGTATCCTATAGAGACCAGAAGTGTATTCTATAGCTCTATACCCTACAAATGCTTCAGGATATTAGTCAAAGAACATTTGCTGCAGTACCAATCACAAAAGACTATACACAACTAAACATTCCTCAATTTTACCTAAAAAAACGGGGTTGCTTTACACAATAGAATATGATGACTCTTTACATGCAATGAGGTACCTCTCTAATGGATATTATGGAACCATCGCCAAGATACACTGTCAGGTGAACAAAGCAAGGTGTCTGGAAGGAAGGCAGGAAAGAGGGAGAGGGGAATGAAGAAGGACTGGGTAAAAATACTTCTGAAAAGAAACCTAAGAACTTCTGGCTGTGGTTGCCTCTAAAGAAATGGCACAAGGCGTTTTAGTAGGAGAATGGTGTACTTTTCAGTGTTTACCTCTTTGCACTCTTTGAATTTATTATTACAAGTACAAATTATTTTTCATTTCAAAAAGCTGATTCATTTCTTAAAAGCCTGTAAAAACATTCTTCCCCAGAGTAAAGCTAAATTAGGTTACTTTTAGGTTACTTACTTATGTATTGCTCTTTTCTCCCCAGGGTTAATTAAAAAAAAATCCTTTGTGTTGGTTTAAATACACATATTATAATAAATTTTCAGTTACAAAGGACAGCTTTACTTGGCACCTTAGACTTAAAATGTCTCAAATCAAATTCTTTTGTTATTTAGCTATTAATCCAAATGTTCAACTGATACACTTAGGTTAACTATAAAATAAGAGTTAATGGTCACATTATAATGAAATACTTTCTAAATCATTAAAAATTACATTATGTCCAAATACTTGTGATTAAGAATTTGATTATAGTGGTTTTGGCAGGTTGTATATGAATTCATATGAACTGTTCTTAATCTTCCTCTGGCCAAGGACTCCTATGAGGATTTAAGGAAGGCATTCCCCAAATGGTACATACACTTATCTTTGACTTTATGGAACAAAGGGAATAAGAGGGAGAAGGTTCAGTCTCCCCAAATCCTTCATGGATGTCAGGTTGGTACATCCTGGTGTTTTATGCAAGGGAGAGTCAGGCTTGCCAGTGAAAAGAGATGCCCATAAATGGATCCTCCCAACCTAACCCGTGTTAAAAAAAAAAAAAAAACCCTCCCCTGAAGAATTTGCTTAAAATGGAGATTACCAGGCCCTACTCCCAGCAATCAATTCAGTAAGCAGGTCTAATCACCTGCATTTTAACAAATGCTCATGGCAAATCTGATACCAGTGCAGCCAGACCACACCTTAAAAGGAGCCTGGAAAGATCCGCCCTTTCACTAGCCTCAGGTGTTAGTACAATAATGCTCTGCAAAGGGTAAGGCACGGATTTTGGAAGCAGGAAGAAAAGAGAACTTCAGTTTTCACTTATTTTTAATTCCTTCTCTTAAAATATTTTGTTCAGTGTGTGTATATTATTTCATAAAGCACACTGATATAATGAGGCATGCAAATAATTTAAAAGAAAATAAACACACACATACTGGGGATGTAGGACCAGTATTTTTTCAAATTGATATAGTACACACTCAAAGTAGATTGGAGGCCGCTGGACTAAACAGCCTGAATTCTCCTCACCCTGTCCAGTCCTAAATGGGAATAACAATGAGAAAGAATATAAAGAAGAATATATATGTTTAATTGAATCACTATGTTTCACAGCAGAAATTAACACAACAATCAACTATACTTCAAAAAAAAAAAAAAAATCCTAAATGGGAATAACCAAATCAGAAGCTCCTGAAACTTCTATGTAACTCTCTCTGCCACATTCCACAGCCACCCACAACCCAAGAAGCCCTGGCCAATGAACTCAACTTTCATCTTTGTGTTATTCCCTGGGGTAATTATGGAGGAAGAGGGCTTATCTATGAGATATCTTTCAGATACTCTGAGTGGAAACTAGTATGTTAATTCCCATGGAATTATTTAAGGTGGTTAGATTTCATACTACTAACAGTTAACATGTGTTTAGGAATGCTTTTATGACTCATTTTAGAGACCTTAGTTTTAGAATATCCTATCTACAGAGATATTTGCCTACATTCTAAATAACCCTTACCAAACAAATAAAATCACTTAATAGAATATAACCTGTTAAGCAACAAATTGCTTGCATTTGACCCAATTTCAAGCTTTATGATTAAAAGAAAAATCTTTTTAAATGGATTTTCTATCGAAAACAAGGAGTGCCAACTTCAACTGAATCTTAAAGAATGGGTAAGATATGGAAAAGTGTTCTGATTTTAAAAACTGTTTTTTCTACAGTCAATTCCAAGCAAATACTCTGCCAGTTAGTTATAGCTTTTATCCATCTTCCAGAATATTTCTGATTCCTCCACCCACCATCATGGATTACATGTTCATACCTCTGACCTAAAATTTGAGAATAATCTGAGGAAAACAGTAAGATAAATTCACTGAATCAAATATATAATGCAGTCTAAAATCCTAGTCCTAGTTCTATGACATGCTACCTGAGGTTTAGAGCGAATCATTTAGCCTGAGTTTCAATTTTCTTGTCTACAAAATGGGGATAATAATAAGCATCCATCTCAATTACCCCCGGGATGTTGTTTTCTCTAATCACATAAATGGCTATGGAAATGTACGATGTATGCTCTTCAAAATCAATTCAAAACAACGCAAGAGTGCAATAAAAAATTAGGGATACTACCAACTTTTAGTCTACATTATAACTGAGTTGTTAATATTTAATAAAAAAACTAAGTTGTTGTTTAACAAATCTGGACATATCCATGTTTCTCTTAAGGGTTTCCACACTGAATCAGAATCCCATGTGGAACTTAAAAAAACAAATACCCAAGCTCAACCCCAAATCTACCTAATCAGAATCTCCCATGGTGGAGATCTGAGCCTGCCTGATTTTAAAAGGGGTCTCTGATGCCTAAGAACCACTCGATCCCACTTCCCTTTTTTCTGAAATGAAATTCTAGAGAATTACGATAACTGAGCATTTAGAAAAGGAGTCACCAAAAAAGTGGAATTCATTGCCTACTTGTGCTGTTTCCCTGCATTAACATAAACAATAAAAATTGTGAATGTACCTCAAAAACTGAATTTATCACATACGAGTCTCCTTAGTCAACAGCTCCATCTACTGGAATAAACTTAGGGAAAATCTTATAATTTTAGAACAGATTACTTAAAAATCGATTACGCTGTAAAATTAAAACATCAAAGACCAGCTCCTTAATATCCCTTTGGTGGATACACTTTGGGTAGATGGCTATTTTCTTGACCCTAGTCAAAGTCAACATTCCGAAATTTCTAAAAGCAGCTATATCTCACTTTACACAGTAAAACATATTCCTGAAAAACTATTATTACAGTTGATATCTTTCTTCCTGTGATCACTAACAACACCCAGTGTGTTCTGTCTCAAGCTAAGAAAATGAGCACATACATTAAACAACTTTCCCTCCTAAAAAGTCACAGAAAAGGCCATTTGAAAAGGACAAAAGAAATTCATAAAGGTTCTCTTAAACAAAAAGGAACAGTACTAGCAGATAGTTGATTCTCAAGGATTTCCAGAAGACCATGATCATGCTAGCATATGGACCACACCTCAGAGCAAAGAAGCTAAGCAGAGAAGGATCTTTTATGCCACAGTAGAATCTTGGGCCTTTCTTCTGTAAGAGGCAGCAGCAAATAGCAAGGACAGAAACTGAAGTGGTAGAGAATCCATTTGCTAATACAGGAGACTCAGCTTTGATCCCTGATATGGGAAGATCCCATGTGCCATGGGGCAACTAAAGCTGACAGCCACAACTACTGAGGCTTACTTGCCCTAGAGTTCTACAACAAGAGAAGCCACCTAAAACAGAAGCCCATGCAATACAATAAAAAGCAGCCCTCTGCCCCACAATCAGAGAAAAGTCTGCACAGCAAAGACCCAGCACAGCCATAAGTAAAAAAATAAACAAAATTATTTTTTTAAAAAAAGAGAAAGACTTGATGGACTCTCTTAATATCAGCCCATCAAATATCTAGCAGAACGAACAAAACAAATATGCCACCCAAATTCACCCTCAGGCAGTTCCAGGACTCCAGGTATAAGTGAAAAATCCTCAATGCTTGCAGATGAGATGAAACAGGTCATCTACAAAGGTACAACATCAGACTTCTTCCTAAAATAATGAGTACTATTTTCTTTTATTGTTACTTACATGAAAAAGTTTTTCTGTCTTTGGAAAAACTGCAACAATATCATACAGCCGGACTCTTGAAGAAGTTGCTCTCTAGTAAAATGAAAAGAATGTTACCATACAGTAACAACACAACAACAAATGCTTATGGGATTCTGACTAGTGTCCTGGCCGCACTTATATTTCAATCTTGTAATATTTATAATATGCCACTGACAATTTTGCTTTGCTTTGTATGCTGACAGAAAAGACTTTCTCAGCATGTAAGATTCTAGCTATCAACATCCATCTCACCAATCATCTCTCCTTCCTTCCCACACTGTCATGCTTTACCTGTGTATCAAACATTTCGTTTGAGACACAAAAATCAAATTAGACAGCTCCTGCTCTTATAAGCTAGTGGAGGAGCTTGCCAGAAATTTATTGAGCGCCTGCTATGTGTAGGGCACTAGGGATACAAAATCATTTAAGGCATATGTCTGCTTTCAGTGGAGCTTATCATTTTTTGGTGAGATGAGAAACACACATAACTAAGTATGATGTCATTAGGTTCACAATGAGAATACTGTTAAATACAAATTAAACAGCTAGATGTGTAAGAAAATAATCAAGAGTCCTCTGACAGAAGGAGAGAGATTTATCAGTTAAAGATGGTTTATAAAAGAAAGTCTCAAACTGATACTGCATGTGTAAGCATGTGAAAAGCCTGAAAAAATAAATATTCAAGTATATAATCACTGAATGATGAGATAATATGTGCTATTTCTTCTTTCCCTTTGGCACCTTTAAATTTTTTACCTCTTATTCTGTAAAAAGAAAAAGCATGATAAAAACTAAAGGAGGAAACAGAATGGTTGAAGAGATGCAGCATTGAGGAGCTAAGCGAACCCACTGGGGAGATGCATGCCAAGACAGGGCAGGTTCTAGATCTCAGAAAAAGTCAGGATCCAGTACTCTTTGTCCTCTGCCTGACACTCCCACTTGAGATAGGGACTGAAAGGGGCCACCAGGATGTTCATGGTAACAAGAGAAAAATCAAAGTCTGTGACCATAAAAAGTCAACTCTGTCTCCCCAGGCTTAGAGAACCAGAATGCAGCCTGAAGCTATAAAAAAAACCCCAAATTTGGTTTTTCATAATTTCTTTAGCAATGTTAATTGTTAGAAAGGAGGCCAGCCCTTCCTTGATTACTCCTTTTCTATGAGAGTGGAGGCCATTCCAGCTAATGATGAAACAGCTCAGGTTCTCAGAGATCTCACTTTCTCCCTCACTGGTTCTTCACATCAGCACCAGCTATTTGCAAGTCTCCATTTGACAAACAAAATCTAGACAGCAGGTTCTCACCAGCCTCCCAAGCCTTCTGTTCCTGCATGGAGTCAAGTTTCTTAAGCAAAGTTAGCAGCAGACACTGGCTTTATTTTCTCATAGCCCAATCATTTCCACGGAAATGGCTTTTCGTAAGGCAACCAATGACCGCCATGTCATTAGGGAACTTGCCTGTCCAAGACATGTTTTAGCCCTTCTGCTACTTGCCTGAGCACTCAGGCACGCCGATGCTGCTCACCCTTCTCATGTTCCTCACTGTCTACCTACTCCCCAGACGGCCCGTCTCGGTCTCCCATCCTAGCTCACTCTCTACTCCACCACTGAATATATGTTCCGCAGGATTCCGTCCCAGACCTTCTCCTCCCACATTGTACTTGGACCGGGGAGTCTCATCCATTCTCATGAGTATGATTACTCTCTACAAGGTGACCACTTCCAAACGAGTATCTTGAACTGGGGTCCCTCTTCCGAGGGCCACATCCTTCTTTTGACAAGCTCCACTTGAACTCTTGTGGCTTCCCTGGTGGCTCAGTCAGTAAACAGTCTGCCTGCCGTGCAGGAGACCTTGGTTAGATCCCTGGGTAGGGAAGATCCCCTGGAGAAGGAAATGGCAACCCACTCCAGTATTCCTGTGTGGAGAATTCCACGGACAGAGGAACTTGGTGGGCTACAGTCCACGGGGGTCACAAAGAGTTGGACATGATTGTGACTTTCTTTTCACTGAAACTCTTAAAATGACCTTCTGTGTCTGAAACATGGTGGCCGACACTCACTTCTCTTGGTGTTTCATCTCAGGAAACGGTCCCATCTACTGACCTGGCTGCTCAAGCCAGAGCCTGGAGTCACCACCTTCGAGCCAATCAACATCGAATCCTGTCAATCCCCCCTCCCCCACCTTTATCCCTTTATCAAATCCCTTCCTTTATCCCCTTTGATCCATTCTCTGTAACACAAATCTCATAACTATACTCCCTTAGTTAAAACCTTCAAAGGCTTCTTCTAATTGCTCACCCAGACCTACCTTTCTAACATCGTCCTAGGTTAAACAGCTCATCAGGCTCAACTCAACTGGCATTTCATTTCCCACCATGCACCATGTTTTTTTGGGATTCAGAACCTTGCATAATTTATCCTGTCTGTGGGAACATCCTCTCCCTATCTGGCACCAATAACATTCACTGATTCGTATGGCCATAGTCTGAACATCAGCTTCCTCAGGTTGGCCTCCTGTTACACACTCCCAGAACATTCCTTATTTACTATCTCCCACTTTTTAAACATTCTTCCCATTTTCCAAAGGATAATGTCTGTATTATTCATAGCAACATCACTAGTACTCTATGTCTGGGTCATGTAAGTTCAATGAAGACCAGTTGCTAGAATACTCTTTAAATCTTCAAAAGGTTTAATCCTTATACATGTGTCATGAATAGAAGAGACTCTATTATACCATGTGAATTCTGAGCTAAGGAGAGCAGTCAAGTGTCATACACTGGGGGCTGGGGAAGATATAAGAATGAGATGAGTTAAAAAGCAAGTGTTCAACATTAATCAATACAACTTACAAGACCAAGAGAGAAGAAAAATAACTTACCAAAACATTACAGTGTGATGGATCCGAAACGATAATTGTTAGTCGAGTTAAAATTTTAATTGGTTTTGATTTTCCCTATAATAAAGAAAGCACAAAATACAGATGACTGATTTTCCTCCTTACCAGTGGAAAGTATTCATTAAAAGGAACTAACAATAAGGAATAATGATCAGTAAAACCTAGCCCTAACTCTCAAGGAATTTATAATCTATTTGTTTTATTTTGTTGTGCTTCACTGATATTGCTTTTGTTTTTTTTTTTAAAACTGAAGATTGGTGGCAACCTTGTATTGAGCAGGTCTATTATAATATGTCATTTTCCAACAGCATTTGCTCACTCATGTCTCTGAGTCACATTTTCGTTATTCTCCCAACATTTCACATTTTTTCAAGATTATCATATTTGTTATGGGGATCTGTGAATACTGATTTTGCCTAAGTCCTAATCACTAGACTTCCAGGGAATTCCCTGATCTCTGATGATACTATTGTTAATTGTTTTCAGTGTCAAAAACCACACACATATAAGACACTGAACTTAATCAACTGTTGAAATAACAACAAAGGATTAAGAATATTACATAAACTTTTAGTTAATAAAGCAGTGGCAGGGTATGAGAGGACTCACTCCAATTTTGAAAGAAGATTTACTGTGGGTAAAATACTATCAAACAGCATTGCATGCTACAGAGAAATTGTACTGAAAGGAAGCAAATTCATTGTTGTCTTTATTTTAAGAAATTATCACAGCCACCCCAGCCTTCAGCAACCACCACCCTTATCGGTCAGCAGCCTTCAGCATCAATGTAAGACCCTCCACTGGCAAAAAGATTATAACTTACTGAAGACTCAGATAATGGTGAGCATTTTTAAGCAGAAAAATATTTTAAAATTAAGATAAACATTGTGTTTTTTTAGATATAATGCTGCTGCTGCAAAGTCGCTTCAGTCGTGTCCGACTCTGTATGATCCCAAAGACGGCAGCCCACCAGGCTCCCCCGTCCCTGGGATTCTCCAGGCAAGAATACTGGAGTGGGTTGCCATTTCCTTCTCCAAAGCATGAAAGTGAAGTTGCTCAGTCATGTCTGACTCCCAACAACCCCATGGACTGCAGCCAACCAGGCTCCTCCATCCATGGGATTTTCCAGGCAAGAGTACTGGAGTGGGGTGCCATTGCCTTCTCCGAGACATAATGCTACTGCACACTTAATGAACAATGTAAGCATAAATTTAACATGAATCAGGAAACCAAAACATTCGTGTGACTTGCTTTAATGTGGTAGTCTGGAACCAGACCCACAGTATCCCTGAGGTATACCTGTATAGCTAGAGAAAAAGAGATGTACATAATGTTTCATGGAAACACTAAGTCTTCATGGAAAGGTAAGACTCATAGACAAAGGAAGGGGCAGTGCAGGTTAGAGAACCATGTGTATGACTGGGAATGTCTGAACTGGATGAGTACGTATTACGTTTCTTAAACAAAGCACTTACCTGTACGATTGGCAAAGTTGTAAAGAGTTCAGAAACAGCTACTGGTTTTTCAATTTCCTATGACAAATAAAGAGTAATTTTTTAAAAAGCTAATTTCTAGCATGCAGAAACACTAAATAAATTGTGTGTATGTGCATGTGTGTGTTTTCTAATGAAGAAAGTTGAAGTTGAGTAGGAGCTGAGAACATCAATGGAGAGGAAGGATGAACAAGTTTTTTAGAATGAAACAAATCTGTAAGGAACAGTTGTTGGCCTAAAACAGTAAAATAAAAAGGATTAATTATTGTGACTACAGTTTAAACAACAACAATGCACTTTTTACAAAGTTACTTAACATCAAATCGACTTTAAGAATCTTTACATCATACCCCAGCACTTCACAAAAAAGTTATCGTTTGCACAGGTATCAGCTCAACTACTGATATATAAAATAATGCATAAAGAGTGCTCATCTGTAGCTTCCATATTACCAATACACACAAAATAATTATAACTGCTGGTTATTATTAATGTCAAAAATCCTACTTTACCTGTTTCTTTTCCTTAAATTCAACAACATGATTGATGGCAACCACTGAATAGCCCACTGAAAAGAAAAATTGAACATTCGTGTCAAATACGACTTCTTTTCCACATGAGCTCATACCGACTCACGTCAAGACTACAAGGTAGAAGAATGGTCATGAGTATGGACTCTGGAGTCAGATCTGCCTGTTCTCAAACCTAAACATTACCACTTAAAAAGTTACTTAAGCTTAAGTTTCAGGTTCTTATCTGACAAATGGTTATAATACCAGGATTCATCTCATACAACTCTCATGAGAATTAAATGAGATAACACACACTGGATGTTTCACAACAGTGCCTGGCACAGACACAGGGTTTTGTTTGACTTTGGTGATGTATTATCAGCATGATAACAAAAACCCTTATCTTTGCTGATCTCCTTTCAACCATCATTCTTTTTCTGTCCCTATGTTCATTTTCATCTCATCAAATTTATACTTTTTTCACTATCAACTTCATTCTTACTTTTGTTGTTGTTTTTCACTTTTTACCCTTTCTTCTTCTTCAGAGACCCTTTTGCTAAGGAGAAACAGGATGACCATTCATTCACACCAATGTCGACTGTTCTCCTTTGAGCTATCCACCAAGAGACTGAGAACTCTCTGAAGCCAGGGCCTGGCTTTATCAGCCTCAACACAGCACTGCTCTGGACACGTGGACTATCAAAAATATGTTTAAATCATGACTCCAATCTTTAGGCTATTTAAACACCAACGGTGACGACAGGATATTAATATTAAAAGATAATGCATAGTAAGGCCAAAATAGTGGTCTCCCCCTCATCAGTTGTCCAAGGTCCTTTTCTTCCTCTCTCAAATATTTACTGAGCATCCATTACTTAACAGACCCTCAAGAAACCTCTTTTATTTTGAAACCCTTCTATCCCCACTTAGCAGTTGTGATTCACTTCAATAATTAAGATGAGGTCTTACTTCTCACGGCTTTTGTTTCCCCTGGATTCAAACAAGAGTAGCATTCTAGCCATTCTGCTCTCCTCCCACCCTCCTAGTAAGTCCTCCGCCCCCACTTACTCTCCGTGTAAATAACATTCCAACACTCGGAATCACATGTCCCCCTCCCATTCTTGGGGCCCCCACAGTACTCCCCATCTCTGCATCAGTTTCCCGCATTTGACAGTATCAGGACAATGTCAAGAGACGCAGGAAGGGGCGATATGTTTTCATCGGTGTAGGTGTACACTTGGGAGCCCTGTTTTCTGCTATCCATCAGCTGTGGGGCCCATGCAAATCCCCCGCCATGTCGGGGCCTCAGTTTCCTCAATTCGCAAGACAGAAGGAGCTGGACTGGGTAACATCTCCCCAATGCTTTCGAGTTTCCCGCGCCTGGGGTCAAAGCAACACCGCAGGGGCATCAGTTTCCACGGCAGAGGCCCCAGGACACCTGAACTAGGCCCGCCGGGTCCTTCCAGAGCATGGCTCGACAGCCTAGGGACAGGGAGACAGCGCAGGCACGGCGGCCCGCGAAGCCCGGGCTACTCACGGTGAGCAGCGTTCTGCACGAGCCCGCGCAGCGCCTTCAGGTCGGAACCCGCCCGTAGGTCCAAATCGGCAAACGCCGCCATGCCGAAGTCACGTGAGCGCGGGCGCCGGCGCAGTCTCTGGGCCCCGCCTCCTCGGGCATGCCGGGAATTGCAGTTCACCGGTCGGTCAGCCCCGCCCTTTCGTGGTCTGCGGTTCTCAGGCTCCTTTCTCGCCTTCAAGTACCAGCAGAAGTTAGCATGTGATTTGCAGCCTTGCTTCAGTCCTTCTTCGTCTTGTTCCAAATGAGAATGTTTGGTTTCTCCTGGGGTGGGAGTGTCGGGGTTCACATCTCCCACCCTTCATCCTTGGAAATAATGTAGAAAGTGATTCTTTTAAAACGGACATATACACCATTAATTGAGCGCCTACTTGAACCAAAAATCCTTTTGCCAAGGGCTGGAAATGCTTTAAAAGTAGTAGGGAACTTGTTCTTTTTTTCCCCATTAAAGGCCATTCTGTTGTTTAAAATGGACTTAACGGGAAATGGGGAAACTGACCTAAAAGCGGATTGCCGGGGGAAAGGACTTTTTCCTCTGCCTGAACTGGGGGTTCACAGCGCGCTACTTCCTTACACTCAACATCTTCAGCCACCAGATGGCAGGGTTCTCTCTAGGATGAGAGGTTAGCCCCATCACTGGTTTAGCCAAAAACTGGTTAGACAAGAGAGGGGTGTAATTGAAATAAGAAGAAATGTACAATCAAATCCCACACAATTTATATTTCCACATTTTTGAACTTCGTGTAAGTGAACTCTTTTTAAATATTGATCAATGATCCGAGAACATAAAACTGTGAAACTATAGTTGACATCAGATGACATCATGTGGTTTGATGGCATCACTGACTCCATGGGCATGAATTTGAGCAAACGCTGAAAGACACTGGAGGACAGAGAAGCCTGGCATGCTGTAGCCCAAGGGGTCACAAAGAGTTGGACATGGCTTAACAACTCAATAACAACAGCGATAGTTAACATCAGTGCTTTTTCAAACGAGCTGTGATGAAGGGCCTGGTTACTCCCCCACCCCCACCCAGTTGTTCTAGGACCCATTCCTGTTTCCTCTTGCATGAGGAAAAGGCAGATCTGGCCTCAAAAGTTTGATCTAACATCTGAACTGCTCTGTACTCAACTGAATAAGAAGAGTCCAAGGGACTTGGGTATCCAGATAAGGCCTAATGGGTGTGAAAATTTCTAAACAGTTCCAATTTCTGTGCTAATTTACCACAGAGAGTACACAGACAATCTCTAGCCTGTAGGCCACATCTTGACTTGTATTCCTCTCGTGATTTTTTCCTTGGGTTCAGAAGGGAATTTCAAGAGGGATCTGCCCCATCTTATTGTTGTTCATTCGCTAAGTCATGTCTGATTCTTTGCTGCACCATGGACTGCAGCACACCAGGATCCCCTGTCCTTCACTGTCTCTTGAAAGTGAAAGTGTAAGTTGCTCAGTCCTGTCTGACTCTTTGCTACCCCATGGACTGTAGCCCACCAGGCTCCTCTGTCCATGGAATTCTCCAGGCAAGAATACTGGAGTGGGTTGCCATTTCCTTCTTCAGAGGATCTTCCCGATTCAAGGATGGAACCCAAGTCTCCTGCACTGCAGGCAGACTCAAATTCATGTCTGTTGAGTGACTGATGCTATTTAACCATCTCATCCTCTGCTGCCCTCTTCTCCTTTTGCCTTCAATCCTGTCCCTAGAATTGCATGTAGTAGCAAGCAATTCTCCTTTTGGCTAAGTTTAGTGAAGAAATCTTTTGCTTTCCCAACACTTGATATATCCTAAGAATAAAAATTTACTTCTGCAAAGAGAATGAAGTCATATAAAGCAAACCCTTTGCTTTTTTTTCATCAGAATATTTGGTGTTAATTTTACAGGATCTTCAGTTGTTACGGAAACTCAAGTCCCTGAGCCTGAACCGTGAGGCTAAACTATACCAAAATGTTGGAGTTTAGAACAGAGAAGGGTTTATCAAGGGCCATCTGAGGAGATGCGTGGCTCATGCTTAAAAACCACCAGCAACCCAGAAGTTTTCAGCAAAGCCCTTTTCTAGGAAAGATGAGGGAGGGGTGTAGTTAGCTGTTGCAAACTTCTTGGGGTCAGATCCTTTGTTCTTGAGGTCAGATCATGGTGAGGTAATGATGTTCCTGTAAACTTCCACAGAACGAATGTGATTCTCTGTCCTGACAAGAAAGGGCAAGGTCCCAACCCACAGCTTTCATCCTCTGAGGTTCAGGTTCTGGCTAAGAGGAAGTAGAGCTCAGCTGGAGGCTCCTTGAGAGCCAGTTCCCACACGCTGTCCAGCTGTCATCATTGAGGGAGCCCGGTGCCCAGGACCCATCTGACCCTCAGGCTTCTCAGGCCACCCAAACGGCAGAGGCCAGGTCCCCCAGCATCTTATGCAGACTGCTGCTATTAAGTCACAGAGCTGGGGGTGGGGGAGAGGTTCACCGCCACCTTAAGGCCTGGGTCTGGCCAGTGGGTGGCCTTGGAACAGGCTCTGGAGCCCTCCAGGACACTGCCCCCGGCTTGTTTCCTGGGCCCCTCCAGTTCACCGGGCCTCGAGCCAGCAAGTGAGTTTGAGAGCCCTGGGGAAAAGGCTGTGATCCACTTCTCACCTTTCTCTCTGCTGACGGCCACCACGTGCCTGACTGGAGTTGGCTTAAGGGGCTCACTAACAGTCACTCTGATAGTTGCGTTGCTTGTGGGCGGGGCCCACTGCAGTGCTGACCAATGGCTGAGCAGGACCCCTAATGGTCCTGTGGTAACCTTCCCCTGGTAACAGGGTAGGGGGTTAGTGGCGCACAGCAATGGCCGGGGTGCTAAGGGCTGCACTCAGTCATACTCTATCACACTATTGCAATGGAATGCAGCCGGGTGCAGCCCTTGGCACACCGCCATTGCTATGTGGCATTATCCCTGCACCCTGTTACGAGGGAAAGGTTACCACAGGACCGTCAGGGGTCCTGCTCAGCCATTGGTCAACACTGCAGTGGGCCCCGCCCACAAGCACCAACTCTCAAGGAGTGACCGTTAGTGGGCTCATTCAGCCAACTCCAGTCAGGCAGAGTAGTGGTTGTCAGGTGGAAAATCAGGTAAGAGATGGATTCCTTGCCGTCTCCCCAGGCTCCTCTAGCTCACCTGGTCTCAGGCCAGTGAGTAAGCTGGGGAGCCCAGCGAACAGATTGGGGGTTCTGTCCTGTGGGACTCCAGAACCCGTATCATGGCCACCCGCTGGCCTTGGCCCAGGCTGTGAGGCAGCAGTGAACCTCTCCCCCAAGTGCACCTCAGTGCCCTGATAGCAGTTACTGACCATCTGCCTGGATTGCAGTCTGTGCGACCTTCTCTTCCCTCCCGTTTAGGTGACCTGAGGAAACTGAGGGCCAGTTGGGTCCTGGGCATCTGGCTCCCTCAGCAGTGACAACTGGGCAGGGAGCTGGCTCTGAGGGAGCTGCCAGCTGAGCTCTATCTCCTCTTAGCCAGGATCTTGACCTCAGACGGAAAAAGTTGTGCCTTGAGACCTTGCCCTTTCTTGTCAGAACAGAGAATAACATTCCTTTGGTAGAGATTTACAGAAATAGCATTACCTGTCCATGACATGACCTCAAAAACAAAGATTTGACCCAAGAAGTTTGCAATGACTAACTAAACCTCTCCTTCCCCTTTCCTAGAAAAGGGCTTTGCTGAAAGCTTTCAGGGAATTTGGGGTTTTTAAGGCTTGAGCTGCCCATCTGCTTGCATGGCCCTGTAATAAAATTTCTCTGTTCCAAACTATGACATTTTGGTATTGTTTGGCCTCACTGTTTGTCAGGCACATGAACTTGCATTTTGGTAATACTGTGACCACAAAATCTATATTGGTCAGAAATATGTCCAAAATGTGTGGTGAAGGTGAATAAGATGACTCATTATTTGATTAGACAACAGAGAGCTTAGACAACAGAGAGCTTCTCTCTTTGAAAGTCATGGTGCTGTTACTGTGAACTATACCCTTTAGAATTCGTTCTTCATCTTCACTCTGGGCTTAGATAACAAGAAAAGAAAAAGGGTGAGAAGGAAAATGAGCAGATGACGGTCATTGATCACTTTACTGAGGGCAAGCCTATTTGCTAAGTAATTACCTACATATCTTATTTAATTTTCAAAACAGCTATGAGTTAAGTCCTGCTTTTTAATAACATCTGCATTTTACATCTGAGTCATCTAAAACTTAGTTAATCATGTTAGACCTACATGTGGATCCAAGCATCTTTATCCTGGGCTTCGGTGTACTGTCTCCTGGGCAAAGCAAGCAGAGGGAGAGTTGGAGGATGGGAAGGGAAGGGGGAGAGAAGAAGAGGGAAAGGGAGAGTGAAGGGCTGGAGAGAGAGGAAAGAAGAAGTAGGGAGGGAGAGGGTAGGGGAGGAAGGAGGTGGAAGAGGAGGAGGAGGAATGGGAAGAAGGAAAAGAGAAGATGGCATTGGGAGGGGAGCAGAGAGAGGGGTCAGAATTTGGCCTAGGGGTGAGGTGGGTTGGTGTAGCTACAGCAAAAAGGATAGAAGACCTTGGAAACTTCTAACTGGAAAATAATAGTACTATATAATTACGCTACATATTTCCTATCTACAGTCTGATTTAATCTTTGCAACCAGCCAATGAGATATTGTTATTCCTATTATATCAAGGAGTCCTGAACTCAAAAAGGATGACTCTTCAGTTATTTCCTTTTCCTTAGGTAGCTATGAAAGAGAGAATGGGCCTTAGCATCCAAAGCAACCTTCCAGCCCATCTGGGTCTCCCTGCAGACCTCCCTTTCTTGGGCTGGCCCCTCAATGTCAGTGCATGCTCTGTTGGTCTTTGCCCTTGTACTCTTCTCACTTGACTCACCCTTCCTGAGTGAGTTCAGAAACACTCCGCCACCCCTCTGTCCTCTGTCAGCTTAAGGTTAAGGTTGGGCAAGGCAAGAAAGCAATACTATAACATGATTTGCACAAGTGTGTCCAGAGCATCTGGCAGAGTCTTCTCTTCCATACTGAGGGGGAGGTTTGAGAGATTTGGAGAGGACATAGTGACAGTTTACTAGAGGAGGTGATGCTTGAATTAAATTTTGACCCATGAAATTGAGGAACAACAAGATGCAGAGGTCTGAGGTATATATAGAACTGGCATAAAGTAGGTGGTACTGAGTCAAAAGTTGCAAATTTAATAAAGGAACCCATGGCTTCGTGTTTATCTTCATATCCACGTCAACCCAATTGTAGCACTGATGAAAGGGAAAGTCACTCAGTTGTGTCTGACTCTTTGAGACCCCATGGACTGTATAGTCCAAGGAATTCTCCAGGCCAGACTACTGGAGTGGGTAGCCTTTCCCTTCTCCAGGGGATCTTCCCAACCCAGGGATTGAACCCAGGTCTCCTGCACTGCAGGCAGATTCTTTACCAGTTGAGCCACAAGGGAAGCCCAAGAATACTGGAGTGGGTAGCCTATCCCTTCACCAGTGAATCTTTCTGACCCAGGAATCAGACAAGGGTCTCCTGCATTGCAGGTGGATTCTATACCAACTGAGCTATCAGGGAAGCCCTGTAGCACTACTGGATGTATTCAATTACCTAAACAACAGTTTGGGTAACTGAAGTACTGCTGTATGTATTCAACTACCTAAATACAGAAATTAACTGAAGTATGTATATGGCAGACTGGTAGGGTACACTAGCAACTCAAATAGAACCCCCTCTTTTTCCCAATTATGGAGTACTTACTGGTATTCCTGTGTGGAACAGAAAAGGATGCCCTTCCTCCAGGCAGATTCACATTTGCCCCTATTTACCACATGGGTGGTAAGTTTGCTCAGTGAACCACCTGCCCAACTTTTCCTAGGGACCCTGGTAAAGCATACTGGGTGTGTGTTCGTTCTCTGCAGTCTTGTCCAACTCTTTGTGACCCCTTAGACTATACCCCACCAGCCTCTTCTGTCCATGAGATATTCCCAGCAATAATACTGGAGTGGGTTGCCATTCCCTTCTCCCGGAGATCTTCCCAATCCAGGGACTGAACCCGTGTCTCCTGTGTCTTCTGCATTGCAGGAGAATTCTTTACCGCTGAGCCACCAGGGAAGCCCTTAGAAGTGTCAGTCCTATCATGCAATTCAGGTCTTCAACAGACTGGAATGAAGCCCACCTACATTATGAGGGTTAATCTGTTTTACTCAATCTACTGATTCAAGTGCTAATCTCATTCAGAATGTTTGACACTGATCTGGGCACCCAATGGCCCAGTCAAGTTGATAGAATCATTGTAGGAATGATGCATAAGTGATATGGGAATGATCCCATAAGTGAAGAAAAACTGCTCAGGCAACTAATTTTTTTTTTTTTAAACTGAAGACTAGTTTGGGAAGAATATTTATTGAAGGCACAAGAAAGAGCAGGTCCTAAACAGAAACTAGTATTCACAGACAATACAACTAAAAGTCTATTTTCAGTCTGTTGGAAATATAGCTTAGAACTTTCAGGGTAAATCGCAAGAAAAAGCTAGGTTATTTCTGGCGTATTCTATTACAGCTGATAAGGAAGTAGATATATAAAAGCTATTGGAGTGGTTGGGAATTTTGATATGACCAAATATCTTTAGAAAATCCTGCCCAAACAAGGCACATCATTAGGAAGTGGCTTATTTTTGTGTATGGAGAGAAATTTTGACCATTTTAAAGTAGATGTGTCAGAATTGGTAACCATGACTACAGATGGGCCTCCTGCAGGGGTCAGTGTTAACATCAGACTCATGAAATATAAGCACAATGTGACAAGATTTTGTCAAGGCAGAATTTTAGCCAATTTATTGTCCTGTAGATCAGAACCACTTTGAGCTTTAAACTTAAAAACTATACAAGTAATAGCCATGGTAATTAACCATGACCCACACAATCTGTGTTCCAAAAAGCTGCAGCGCATATAGTGGATGCTGAGGAAATTTTGAACTGCTGAAAGAAATTTACTTTACTGATGCTGTCAAGGAAAAAAATCTCCATCTTCGTTTACCAGTGGAGGCTGGGCCAGATGTGGTTCTTTTGGTCCAGGCTATAACCCCTTTAAATACTCTTTCTCCCCACCTTTTGAAAAATCATATAAACTGATTTGTTTACATATAGCAAAATTTTGTTTTGGGGAAACTCATCTGACAAGGAATAATTAAGCTCATTTTTGGCCTAGAAATTGGTTTCCAAATATGAAAATTATGGTCTAATCTCATAGTGGAGCACTAAATTGTAGAGCTGAAGACTGATCCAAAAAGGGTGCTCTGATTTCAGCCTTGAAACTTTATGCTAATACTTCTTAATTTGCCCTTTTCAATTAATGTCACTAATGTGATTTTAAGTTACAAAAGGAAGTTTTGCTATTTAAACACCTACATAATAGTCTCAATTAATATTTACTATCTGATATAAATTATGGAAAATGTTTGCTGAACCCTTCATTATTTTTTTCAAATTATTTTATTCAAGTATGGTTGATTTACAACATTGTGTTAATTTCTTCTGTGTAGCAAAGTGATTCAGTTTTACATACACACATTCCTTTTCATATTCTTCTCACAAGATATTGAATGTAGTTTCCTGTTCTGTACAGGAGGGCCTTGTTTTCATCTGATGAACACTTTTTAAATCAATGATCCACAACAGTGTTAATACACTCTATTCTACCT